CACAGCAGCAGAATATTCCTTCAGCACCAATGCAGTCGTCAGTGAACTATGGGATGCAGGAAATGAGGTCTCAACCACAGCCTCCAGTTGTTCGCAGCACGTACCCAGGTTCATCAGCTCAAGCTCCTGATTATTCCCTTAAAGAGACAAGTCCTTACCTTGGAGGGGGGCGAATTGTTGGAGGGCGAGTCATACCTGGAGACAGGCCATCCGGCACCTATGACCTTGTTGAAAAGATGGAGTACCTGTTTGTACGAGTTGTGAAAGCCCGTGACCTCCCTCACATGGATATAACAGGTAGCCTTGACCCATATGTTGAAGTAAGAGTTGGGAACTTCAAAGGAATTACAAGGCATTTTGAGAAAAGGCAGAACCCTGAATGGAACCAGGTATTTGCTTTTGCAAAGGATAATCAGCAATCATCTGTTTTGGACGTTGTAGTCAAAGACAAGGATCTTTTGAAAGATGACTTTGTTGGGTTTGTGCGGTTTGAGATCCTTGAAGTTCCTCGTCGATTTCCACCAGACAGCCCATTGGCTCCAGAATGGTATCGGCTTGCAGATAAGGATGGGAAGAAGGACAAAGGAGAGCTGATGCTTGCTGTATGGATTGGCACACAAGCTGATGAGGCTTTTCCAGAGGCCTGGCATTCTGATGCAATTGGTCCTGATGATGGTTCTTTGGTTGCTTATGGACACATCCGTTCAAAAGTTTACCATTCACCAAGACTATGGTATGTTCGAGTAAATGTGATTGAGGCACAGGACTTGGTTCTATCTGACAGGTCCCGCTTTCCAGATGCATATGCAAAAGTACAGATCGGTAATCAGGTTTTAAAGACAAAACCAGTTCAATCTCGAGCTATGAACCCAATGTGGAACGAGGACCTAATGTTTGTTGCTGCTGAACCCTTTGACGATCATCTGATCATTTCAGTTGAAGATCGCGTAGGTCCAAGCAAAGATGAGATCCTAGGAAGGGTTGTTATACCATTGAACGCTGTTGAGAGGCGTGCTGATGATCGATTAATTCGTGGCCGGTGGTTTAACCTTGAAAAGCATATGTCAGATGCCATGGAGGGGGAACAGCGGAAGAAAGATAAAGATAAGTTTTCCAGTAGAATCCATCTCCGTGTTTGCCTTGATGGAGGGTACCATGTGCTTGATGAGTCAACTCACTACAGCAGCGACCTTCGACCTACAGCTAAGCAGCTATGGAAGTCACATATTGGTATGTTGGAGCTCGGAATTCTAAATGCTGAAGGGCTACACCCAATGAAAACAAGGGATGGGAAGGGTGTATCAGACACATATTGTGTAGCAAAGTATGGGCAAAAATGGGTTCGTACTCGAACTATAAATAACAGCCTGAGCCCAAAATACAATGAGCAGTACACTTGGGAGGTTTATGATCCTGCCACGGTTCTCACTGTGGGGGTTTTTGATAACAGTCAGATTGGTAATACAAATGGCAGTGGCAGGGATGTGAAAATTGGCAAGGTCCGGATTCGAATCTCTACCCTTGAGACTGGCCGTGTCTACACACACAATTACCCATTACTAGTTCTTCATCCTTCAGGTGTAAAAAAGATGGGTGAATTGCATCTTGCAATCAGATTTTCATGCACATCATTCGTTAACATGATGTTTAAATACTCGAAACCCCTTTTGCCAAAGATGCATTATGCAAGGCCATTGAGTGTGATTCAGCAAGATATGTTACGTCATCAAGCTGTCAACATAGTGGCAGCTCGTCTTAGTCGGGCAGAACCACCTCTCAGGAAGGAAGTAGTAGAATACATGTCGGATGCAGACTCTCATCTTTGGAGCATGAGGCGCAGCAAGGCAAACTTTTTCAGACTGATGGCAGTTTTTTCAGGGTTGTTTGCTGTTGCAAAATGGTTTGGAGAAGTCTGCAAATGGAAAAACCCCATCACAACAGTACTAGTACATGTTCTGTTCATGATGCTCGTGTGTTTCCCAGAACTGATTTTACCAACTGTGTTCCTATACATGTTTCTGATAGGGATTTGGAACTGGAGGTACCGCCCAAGGTACCCTCCTCACATGAACACAAGAATCTCATATGCAGATGCTGTGCACCCTGACGAGCTTGATGAGGAATTTGACACATTCCCAACATCACGGGGTTCAGATATAGTTCGAATGAGGTATGACCGCTTGAGGAGTGTTGCTGGAAGAATTCAAACCGTGGTGGGTGATGTTGCAACCCAAGGGGAGAGGCTTCAGGCACTTCTCAGTTGGCGTGATCCTCGTGCCACTACTTTATATATTACTTTCTGTCTCGTGGCTGCTATTGTGTTGTACGTGACCCCTTTCCAGGTCCTGGTTCTTCTCGGTGGCATTTACCTCATGAGGCACCCGAGGTTCAGGGGTAAGATGCCATCAGCCCCGATTAACTTCTTCAGAAGGCTGCCAGCAAGAACGGATAGTATGTTGTAATAGGTCTACTTGGATGTGGTAAAGTTCGTCCTGCCAATGTATCCGGTTTTGGATTTTCATAGCAGTACTTGTAAATCGTAAGGCGTATCTGCTGGTGTTCTGTTTAATGTTTATTGTCAATCATGGAAGTGTACACAGATGTATGCAAACTGTTGTAATCATGGTTAGAAGTATTGATGTTTTGTTCTGCATTTTCAAACATCTATAAATGGTTAAATCAAACCTCCTAACTTTATCAAAGCTATCAAGGAAACTTGACATTCAGAGATTGATGAACAGGTTAAGCATCAGTGGCTTGGCTTCCGGTCATTTTGTTTTGGGGTTTTATCACAAATAGTTCCTAAAATTGACCCTCACCATCAACATGATTCCTTAAATTGAAATTAATTCATGTAGTTCCTGAAAATAAGTGTCGCAAATTAATGTGGTCCTTCCACCACAATTCTATTAAAAATTTTCATTAAGTGCTGATGTGGCACATAAATGGGTCCCATAAGTCCTATTTTCTCACGAATGATCTTTGAAATTGACCCGCGGCATCAAAATGGTCCCTAAAATTGACCTGTGACATCAAAGTGGTCCCTGGAATTGAAAATCAATCAATGTAGTCCCGCAAATAAGTATCCCAAATTAATGTAGTCATTCTGTCACAATTCAGTTATGTGCTGATGTGACACATAACTGGATCACAAAAGCCTAATTAAATTAAAAAAAATTACAAATAGGTTTAATAATTTAATTGTTAATAAAAAATTGTGAACCAAAAAACTTAGTCCTACCACCTCCAATCCCAATCCACATTCATCTACCTCCTTCGCAATCTATTCTCTAAAAAAAATCTCAAAACATCCAAATTTACACAATTCAACACCCTTCATCGAATTGAACCTCGATCGAGATCACCTTTGGTGATGGCTTGGTTGATTGCAACGACTTTTGGGACATCACCGTTAACATTTAGGCGATCAACATCCTCACAACTTTAATCTTGGAGAGCTTGTTCGACGCTTCCCTGGTGGTCTGGTGACTCAAAGAACAACGAGGTCTACCTTGAGATAATGAGGTTATAACCGAGGTGCGTATATTGTTGGTTGAAAACTATTTCCAAACCCTCTCTTAGGCCTTGGTTAAGCCTTGTGCCTTTGAGAATTTCTAGAAGGGATCTCTCTTCGGAGTAGGTCATACTATAAGAAAAAAATTATATTGTGCAAAAAGGTATTTAAACAACTTTTTTAATTAATTATTATACCCACATCAACATATAACAAAAAATTTACAGAATTGTGGCTGAAAGATCATATTGATTTGCAACATCTATTTTCAAAGACTACATTCATCAATTTTCAATTTTAGAGACCATCTTGATAATGTGGGTCAATTTCAAGGACCATCTTAATGGTGTGAGTCAATTTCAAGGATCATTTGTGATAAAAACCCGTAAATATTGTTGCGCTCATATATGTGCCACATCAGCACTTAACGGAATTTTAACAAAATTGTGACGGAAGGACCACGTTGATTTGCGACACCTATTTTCAAGAACTACATTGATTGATTTTCAATTTTAGAGACCATCTTGATGGTGATGGCCAATTTCAGATACCATCTGTGATGAAAACCCCCTTCTTTTCGACATATAAGAATGAAAATGTTCTTTTGCCAGACATAATTGTATGTTATGTTTTTGGACTTGTCGACATAAAACTATTAGTTTATGTCACCGTTGTTTGAACGAAACTAACAATATAACATGATAAATATCTTACAAACACGTGAACCTTTCCTTTCTTGTAGCCGTCGGAGTCATTCTCTTTGTTACAAGAACGAGTAAGATGAAGAGAAAAGCATCTGCATATATAAATCTGATCCTTCATATGATCTTCAATCTTCCTTCTGATGCCTAATACTGCCTGAAACAGCTGTTTTTTCTATGTCAAATTATGATATGTTTGTAATCTTCTCTGCAGATAGAGTGTACTGCTTCAAATACGTGGTGTTTTGTAATACAATTAGTGAGGTAAATGAATTAAAAAGTTATCATAAACACTATCTGATGATCGGCAGACAGTAATGAAAACGTCGAAAAGCTTCTCTGTTTTTATTATATCACCACCATACAAATCATGTATTTATTGTTTCTTCTGTATTTCTTGGTTGATTCAAATATCTGATGATGTACAGCTAAAAAAGATACTAAAAGATATCAACTAAAGAAATAGCCAGAAAGAAAATCCTTTTGGATCTTGAGAGGGCTTCTAATTAAACTTAGGACTAAATGTAGATGCAAAATAAGGTTTACACCTGATGATAACGTCTTCTTGTAATTCAGACGTTGAATATTAATGTCATGTTGATTATTATATCATACTGTCAAATTAAAAACGATTGGTTATTTGGACTATTGTTTGAATTAATACAGTGTCAAATTGACAGTTTAACAAAATAAGACACCAGAAAGAGAAAGACAAACATACAATGCCAATTATATGACAAAAGAAGTTTACTCATTTCACTAATTCAAGTGAACTTTATTCCCCATAAACTTGGAAATAGGAATGAAGAAACAAGAGAGATGATGATAGTACAACATGTTGTACAGCTTCACACTCTTGCCACAGTCGCAGTATTAGGCATGAGCTAGCCCAACAAAAGCATTGAACCTTTCACACTAATTTTTATTGGAAAAATGGAGGAAACCACTCAATTACGCATCAGACCAGAATATATCCATAAAACCCCATTTTGGGTCACTTTCTGACACTCCCAAGGCCTTCCAAACAGCTTTAGAGGCGTCAACCAAATTGTTAGCACATGGAGGCTGGTAATCGTGCTCGGCATCACATCCTACTGTGGAGTCGCACTCGTCGACAACCATCGCTTTGACACTCCTTCCATTACCATGGATGGTAATATGGCCTAAACACCGGTTCCCTTTGTTGTACCAGCCTGTCGACAATGCCACAACAGGACTCTTATCCGAGTGGAACTTATTGTCACATGCTGATGGACCGCCACCATCACCACCCTTTTGAAAGCTGTTGATGGTCAAGGTTGCTTTCGTTTTCTTAGACACCTGAGGTGAGCACGTGTAGGTGGGGTAAAGCTTGCCTTTTTTGCAGCACTCGGAGTCATTCCCTTGGTTACATTGTCCTGGAGGAGGCTCTTTCCCCCTAAGCTTGCCACTAGGCTTGCATTTTTGAGCTTCAATGCTCAACCAGTTCGTAGCAAGAATGATTAAGATGAAGAAAAAAGAACCTGAAAACATCTTGTTATTCATCTTCTCTTTCTTTCTCTGGCTTTGGTTTACGTTGGTTTGAAGAAGTCGGATCCTTTTGTTGGATATATATAGAGAACATGCATGAAGTGTTCGTTTGTTTTTTTTTTTTTTTTTTTCTTGGATACTTTGAAGTGCCTCAAACAGCGGGGATTTTTATGTTAAATTATGAATTTTTTACTCTTTGACTTTGTAAAGTATACTGTCTTAAGCATTCAAAATGATTATCTGCACAGTATTTACTTTCTAAAGAATATGACCACATACAAGAATTAAGTATCAGTTTTGTACTTATTGTTAGTTCGTTCGGTATCCAAGCTATGTGAGAGGGCTTAGGTGATTCCAATGCATAAGGATTATCAATGTGAAATACTAAAAGATCTATCAATTAAAAAAAAAAAATACTAGGTAGAAAGATCCTTGGATTCCTTACACCGCTTAACCTTGGACAGACAGATGTGCAAAATGTGCCAAAAATTATGTTGGATGCCAAAATATGCAGCTTATGAGGTCTCCTCGATGAACTATTTTCCCTGAATCCATTTTTTGCTCACGGTACTAAAACAAGGCTTTAGAGAAAAGGCGCATGTGAGCGTTATTATAATTTTATAATTTCATGTATTTTATTTTTAAAGTCATTTTTCATTTTTAGTTTAATTCAAATCTTCTATCTTTTCCATTAAAGCTTCTCCACTATAATTTGTTTCGATTTAGTTATTAAGATTTTAGAATCAATTCGATATCTGTGGGATGGTATCCGTGCTTATAAGCTATACAATCATCGGATTTGTATACTTGCGAGCACTAAAATTCGAGACTTAATGAGTTTAATTTTTGTTATCTAATTTTCACAACAAGTTTCTAGCGCCATTGCTGGAGATCGAATTTGATTCTATTCCTTACTTAATTGGATTGTTACATTTTTTAGTTGGTTTAGCTTTAATGTTTATTTTTAGTTTTTTTTTAATAATAAACTATTTTCCTCAGTCTCTTGTTTAGCTTACTCATTATTTTGTATTTTTGTAGAAATTGGAATCACTCAGCTTTGATGCCACTACAAAATTCAAGTTTGGGGGTGGATTCCATGTACATCTTCGCTTGCATGTCTCCTTTAAACCCGGAAAATTTCTTTGTCCAAGAGCTTATGCATTTATTCTTCTTTTTCTATACGTTTGTTGTCTGTTTTTGTTATTCTTATCTTCATGTGTTTTTTTCAATCCTTTTGTTTTATTTCTAAAAATAAAATAAAAAATATAAATTTTGAAATATATTTTTTTTTATTTTTCTTTGAGCCTTGTTTTTATTGGCTACTTTCCAATTCAATTATGAGATTTGGTCTTAATTGTTTCATAACTTTCAAGAGATTTTAGCTTGGCATTAGTTCTTTACATTATCTTTGTTTTAATCATTTTTTTTATGATCATGACTTGGAAAATATATATGCACATAGCCTTGTTGATGTGAAACTAGAGCATGATTTAAAGTTTCATATGTGAATCTAGTGAGCTTATGTAATCCTTGTGAGCTTTTGAGTATATTTTATGATTGAACCACTATGCATCAATCTCATTATTCTTGTGCGTATGATCTCATTTTTACATGTATCTCTAGAACTTGCTTTATACCTCTCGTTGCTTTCATCAATTCACATAACAAACTTGGAAGTGATTTAGGCATTTGTTTCTTTCATTTGAGCCTTTCTAGCCAACTGTTATAATTATTTTTCCTAGTTAGCCCCGTTGAGCCTTTATGCGAGTCTTTTCTTGTTCTTTTACCTAAATTGTCCCAACCTAGCCTCAAGAAAAAAATTCAAATCCATCTAAAGGCTTGTAGAGTAATTCTTTAAGAGAAAAGAGTTCAAAGTTTTGGGGGTAAATATTGCTATGGACAAGGAAAAGAGAAAAGAAAAAAAAAATTGATAATTGCTGTAAAAGAGAAAACAAGAGAAGAAAAAAAAAACAAAAAAAACAATCAACTGCTTTTTACGAAAAAAAGGGGGTGTTCCAAAGATCAAATCAAATAAAAAATATTTCCCGTTTTGTTAGGTTTTGATGAGCTTCATGAGTTTAAGCATTAATCTCTCAAATTCGATTGTAAAGCTCTACAAGCTATTTACACTGTACGTTTTTCCATAACCTTTCTTTCATTAGCCTATCATCCTTAATCCCATTACAACCATAATAAAGTCCTATTGATCCAAGAAGTTACTTGATATTAATACCAAGTTAGGTAGACAAGAAAGCATATGACGGCATGTTTTATGAGATCATTTGAGTGATACATATTAACCCACAAATATGAGTGGGTTAACATGTAAGGATACTTTTGATGTAACCAAATGCTATGGCCGTAGAATAATTTAGGGAAAATTGATCATCAATATTGGGGAACTACTTGAGCATAACATATTAAGGGAATTAAGTAGAATTTGTTACGGTGAATTCGGATGCCCTAGGTTTTATTTTCTCATGTTTTAAATTTTATTATTTCATGCATTTTATTTTAAAGTCATATTTCATGTTTAGCTTAATTCAAATCTTCTATCTTTTCCTTTAAAGTTTCTCCACTATAATTTGTTTCGATTGAGTTATTAAGATTTTAGAATCAATTCGATCTCTGTGGGACGATATCCGTGCTTATAAACTATACAATCATCGGATTCGTATACTTGCAAGCACTAAAATTCGAGACTTAATGAGTTTAATTTTTGTTATCTAATTTTCGCAACATTGGTTTTTTTTTTCTTGGATACTTTGAAGTGCCTCAAACAGCGGGTATTTTTATGTTAAATTATGAATTTTTTACTCACTGACTTTGTAAAGTTTACTGTCTTAAACATTCAAAATGATTATCTGCACAGTATTTACTTTCTAAAGAATATCACTACATACAAGAATTAAGTATCAGTTTTGTACTTACTGTTAGTTCGTTCGTTATCCAAGTTGTGTAAGAGGGATTAGGTGATTCCAATACATAAGGATTATCAATGTGAAATACTAAAAGATCCATCAATTAAAAAAAAAAAAACATACTAGTTAGAAAGATCCTTGGATTCCTTACACCGCTTAACCTTGGACAGACAGATGTGCAAAATGTGCCAAAAATTATGTTGGATGCCAAAATATGCAGCTTATGAGGTCTCCTCGATGAACTATTTTCCCTGAATCCGTTTTTTGCTCACAGTGCTAAAAAAAGGCTTGAGAGAAAAGGCGAGCGTTTTATTATTTGATGCTTCCAACAGATAGAGTGATTGAGTGCTAGTGTGTGTTTTGTGCATTTAATCAATTTATGGACCAAGAGATTGTGCCATGAGTGGGATTGGTTCGGTCTAAATTATTTTCTTTGCCTCGAGTGTAAAGGACATCACAATTTTGTTCAAATTTATTTCCCCAAGAGAAGCGAAAGACGAAATGAATTAAAACTGGTTTTAAACATTCCATGATAAAAAGTGTATAAATCTTAAAACCAAAATATATAGTAAACGACAACAAGGTGATATGCGTTTATTGTGTGATCAAATGCAAGAGTTTAGGCGACAACAAGGAAAAATTACTATGCAAACTTGGCATTGGTTGAAGCAACTAAGTGGTAAGCAATTTTTTTTCCGATTTCTACAAATTGTAATTGGAAAAGACGGATCAAGCAACTATTAGAAAAGAAGCTAAAATGATGGAGACTAATAATTCATTATGCCAAAAAACGGTGGATGTCAAGGTGGAAGAAAAAGAACAAGAAATTTTTCTTGTTGACAGTCTCATTGAAGAAGACAAATGAAGGCTCAAAATTCAAGGAATGAGTGATTCGGAAACTGTTATGACTTTTTAGAATCATCAATCTAATAATTTGGAGTTAAATTTTCATTGTTGACCAAACAAGAAAATTGAGAAAGGACAAATATTTTGATTATTTTTGGCATATTTTAATTTTGTATGGATTAACTTCATGATTATTCCACCTAAGTACACAGAAATTTTTGCTTCTTGAGTTAAAGAAATTATTTTCTTAACACGGGAGTTATCTACTAGTTATCAAGATCGTTTGCAGACAAACACGGGCCGAGTTCCTTTCAAGTGGAGAAGTATGATGTAGGATAAGATATTGGTCAATTCCAACAAAGCACGATGAAGAAAATAAAATGTTTCAAATTTAAAAAAAGAAGAATTAAAGTTGGAAAATATCGCATTCAATCGATATGGCTATAGAAAATCAACAAGAAATATACTAGTATTAGAATTCGGCCTATTATATGTCGATTTCAAAGAGAATTGTGAATTGAACATAACTCATGATAAACCATGAGGCTGAAGGAAAAATTTTGTCCTACCTAAGAACAAGTATGAACATTTGAATACTCATGCAAGCTATTAACACTTTAAAGTACTTAAGGACTTAAGTACTTAAGGAACATGTCCTTAGTTCTTCCACTCGCAACTCTGCCGCTCCTCCATATACGAGGAACATGTCCTTAGTTCTTCCACTCGCAACTCTGCCGCTCCTCCATATACGAGGAACATGTCCTTAGTTCTTCTTAAGTACTTAAGGACCGTCTTGACAGTTGCCCAGTGTTCTAATCCTGGGTTAGATTGATATCGACTAGTAATGCTCACAGCATATGCGATATCAGGCCTTGTGCATATCATGGCATACATGAGACTTCCTATGGCGGAAGCATAAGGAATCCTACTCATATGCCCTATTTCTTCAGAAGTCTTAGGTTCCATGGACTTAGAAAGGTGAATTCCATGTCTTACAGGAAGAAAGCCTTTCTTAGATTGTTCCATCTCGAACCTACTTAGCACTTTATCAATGTACATAGATTGGGATAATCCAATTAATTTTCTGGATCTATCACGATAAAGCTTTATCCCAAGTACATAAGATGCATCTCCTAAATCTTTCATGTGGAAGGTTTTGGACAACCACACTTTTACAGAAGAAAGTATTGCAGTGTCATTCCCGAATAGTAATATGTCATCTACATATAACACTAGGAATACAACTGCATCCCCAACGACTTTTTGATAAACACAATTGTCGTCTTCATTTTGAGTAAAACCAAATGTTTTGATTTCAGTGTCGAAACGAATGTTCCAGCT